TTCAAGACTTCTTTGCTTTCAGCAACCATAGTTGTGTCATTTGCATATTATAGATTGTTACTAAACCCCCCACAAATTCTAATGCCATGTTGTTCTTGTAGCCCAGCTTCTTGGATTATTGTTCAGAATATAGAGTGAATATGTATGGTGTAATGATACAACCCTGACATACACCTTTACTGATTTTAAACCATGCAGTATCCTCTTGTTATGTATAGGGACACAGATACAATTTTTGTTGTTCATCGTTTGTCTTTTAATTTTATGTATGATGTCTTTTGTATTAGAGATAGAGAAAATTTTCATTCAATATAGGCAAATTTGCTAATTTTTTCCTTTTTAAAAAGTGAAACATTTTATTTTGATATAATTATAGATTTGCATGTAGTTGTAAGAAATAATAGAGAGAGATCCTATGTACTTTTACTCAGTTTCTCCAAAGGTAAATATCTTTAAAAATTATAGTACAATATCACAACTAGGACACTCACATTAATGTCAGGGTAAATAAAAAAGTATTGATACTAGGACTCCAGTTTATAAGTGCACAGACTCATTCCAAACAAAACATGTTTAAACATATGTAGCTGCAGACAAGTTCTGTCAGTAATTCAACTGTCTTATAAGGGTGCCTCAAAAAAAAAAGGTTCAATCAAAATAATAGTTTCTGGGAAATCTATTAGGTAAATCCAATTCAAGGCAGAGAGGTCAGTTCAGAAGGTTATGGTGACTGTTTTGTGGAATTTCAGGGGTAATCTCTATAGATTTACTTGAAGGACATTAGACAAACACAGGGAAAGAAGTTTCAATACAAGTAAAAACTGTGTAGCAAGAAAAAAGGCAAGGAAAGTTGTGCCAAAGAATTTTTTCCAATCATGACAATGTACCTGCTCATTCTTCAAGGGTAGAAAGGATTGTCTTAGGAGAATTGTGTTGGAAAACCTCACCTATGTACCTTACAGTCATGATCTTGCCCTTAAGACTTATTTTTGTTCTCAAATCTCAATGAAAATTGAAGAGTAACACAATTTGAGTTCCTTGAAGCTGTTAAAAGTGTCATTTTGACATGGTGCAAATCAAATAGTACAGAATTCTTTAGGAAAGAGTTGTTATTAAGTGTCATTGAGTTGGTTCTGACTCATAGTGACCCTGCATAGGGTTTCTGAGGAGAGGCTGGTGGATTTGAACAGCTAATCTTTTGGTTCACAGTTTAGTGCTTATCCTCTAACACAACACTCAGAATTCTTCAGGGAAGGGTTAGAGAGATGCAAAATCTGCCTTCAGAATTGTATAGACCATATGTCAAGAAACAACAGCTTCACATTTTGATATTTTTGTTTACTAAAGATTTCTATGATTTTGAAGCAATATTTTTTACTTACCTTGTATAGTCGAAATACAGAACATTTTCAGTACTACGAGAATGCCCTCTTCATGTTTCCCTTTTATAGTCATATCCATTTCTCTCACTATACATATGGATCTCACCAGATGTAAATATAAGGAATCAAATTGACTACATTTGTGGGAAGAGATGGTGGGAAAGCTCAATATCATCAGCCAAACCAAGACCAGGGGCTGATTGTCAAATAGACCATCAATTGCTAGTATACAATTTCAGGTTAAAGCTGAAGAAAATTAAAACAAGTCCAAAAGAGACTAAATATGATCTTGAACATATCTCACTTAAATTTAGAGACCTTCTGAAAAACAGATTTGATACCTTAGACACTAGTGACCCATGACCAGAAGAGCTGTGGGATGATATCAGGAATATCATATAGTAAAAAAGCAAAAGGTAATTTAAAAAGACAGTAAAGACGAAAATGGATGTCAAAACAGACTCTGAAACTTGTTCTCCGGCACAGAGATACTAAAGTGAATAGGTAAAAGAGCTGAACAGAAATTTCAAAGGGAAGCTCATGAAGACAAAGCAAGTATTATAATAAAATGTGCAAAGACCTGAAGTTAGAAAACCAATAGGGAAGAGAATATGTTCAAAGCAGAATGTGAGACCTTATCCAGAGAAGCAGCAATACCAGAGATGGAGGTAGAGATGGGGACAAGGAGAGAAGGAACAG